AGCTGGGATTCAGATCATCCCCGCCTGGTGGTGCAGGACRACATTTGTCACCAAAGATCAGACCAAGCCCAGAAATGGGTGTTTTTCCAGTGTGCTCAGCTGGAAAACAGCTTGTGGTTTCCCCTTCAAATGGAAGAAAAGGTGGCTCCTGCATCTACGTGGTCCTGTGCCTCCTGAGAGCTGGGGCGTGCAGGAGAGCATTTGAAATGCTTTTAGATTTTTCTTGAAAATGGCGTGCTGGGGAAGACGCGGGAGAACAGGTGCTGGAAGAGCACTTAACTCTCCTTCCAGGGGCCAAAGGCAAAGATAAAATGCCTTTTCTCTAAGTAAAAGCCCAACCTGTCACTGGGCTTTGAACTTGAGTATCCTGACTCCAGGAAAAAGTGGACAGCCTGCCCCACGTGAGGGCTCTGCTCCTACAGGCCTGGGGCATTTCCACCTCTCGCAAGGGCTCTCAGACTCTGTGCATACCCAGCCCCCTCTCGAGTTCTGATTCCACTCTGGCCTGTTGTCCGTCTCTGGCGGGCATGTCTATAGCAAGGAGTGCTGTCCAACACTACAGAACTGTCCACACGTGGCCTGCCCTGGTGCTTGGGGACAAGGGCCGGCCTGAGCTGTCTGACTCGTTCGCAGTCTGTGTCTGCTCTCGACCTCCTGCAGCACCTGCTCCTGCCTCAGGGAGGGAGAGTGGTCTTCATCTTGGAGTGGGCAGTCCCTGTTTGTGCCTCTCCTGTGCCATCTTCAGGTCCTCAGTTGATTCTGTCAATCATGCCAGGCGCACAGGTAGAGGGGCTTCCTCCTTTCTACTTCCTGTCTGTTCACTTGGCTGGGAAAGTAAGTCTGTAGTCTTGGTATGGGGGAAGAGAGGACACATTCTAGAACTTTAACTGCTTGCTGCTGCCTTTCAGCAATTTGCATACAAAAACTAGACCAAATTTTTGAAGCCAATATGAAATCCTTCTTAAAAAAAAAAAAACTTTGTGCATTGAAGGATTATTTTTTTTCTCCTTGTGTGGGTTGAAATAACCTGGCAGAGGGTTTTGAAGAGAAGGGAGATGCATTTTTCATTTAGGTCCTCTAATGTGCTTGTCTTCTGAGAGGTCTTAAAATATTTATGAGGCTTCACATACAGCGAATCAGAGCAGTGATGGAACGAACGCTGAGCCCCGTTCTCTGTTGGGGGGGTGGGTTGGGAGAGGGGTGCTTCTGTGGTCAAGTCCTTTCCTGGCGCAGTCCATTTGGAATAGTCCAAGATCCACTGGGCTGAGAGTGGGGTGGGTGTGGCACCTGGTGGGATAATGACCCTTGGGCAACTCTCCCTCCCCTCCCAGGCCCACCTCCAGCAGCCTGCAGGACTGGATCCCAAGGCTGTGCTGCTCACGTTTACACTGTAGGCATGCGGCTCACAGATGTGGAGCTGCCAAAATTTGGAACCTTTAAGCCACAGCTGTGTTAGCCAGGGCATGGGGCAGGCAGGGGCGGGGGAGATGCAGAGAGCACTCAGCTGCCAACTTGAGTTTTCTGCTTCACCGGCTGCCTGTCCCTGGGACCCATCATCTGCTCTGACTCCGCTCCGATGCCTTCTGCCCACCTTGAGTCTCAGGCCAGACTGGTCTCCGTTTTCTTCCTTGCAGACAGTTGAAGGATTCTTATTGTGTTTAGATGCCGGTCACAGTTCGCCCAGGGAAGCCAGCTCCCCACCAGAGTCCTGGTTTGGTAGAACCATCTGAGACCCCGAGGGCAGCTTTTTTCTGTATCTGAGTAGGACTGGGATGAGCTGGGTCTGATGTTACTCGTGTCCTAGGGTGTGGTGACACGTGACCACAACCTGAGTGGCTTAGAACAGCAGCGACCTCTTCCAGGTCAGGAGGATGGAAACCTGAAGTCAAGGTGTCGCCAGGGCTGGGCTCCTTCTGAGGGGCCTTCCTTGTGTCTTCCAGCTTGCTGATCGCCGTGGCCGCCAGCACACAGATCTCCACCTGTCTTCACATGGCCACTTCCCTGTGTGTCTCAGTGTGTCCCCTTCTGAAGAGGACACCAGTCCTTGGATGGGGACCCACCCTAAATGCAGCGCGGCTTTATCATGGCATCCTTTACCAGCCCTATTTCCAAATAAAGTCACATTTTGAGGTTCCAGATGGACGTACATTGCGGGGATACTCTTCAACCTGCTACTGCTCTTTAGAGATATTTATTTTCCTCTTATGCACATGAACACACTGTTGAACATACCTGGGGTCATTGTTTTTAGATTTAATGTCTTTGTGGTATTTAATATTCAGTCAGTTAACATTCGTGGGTGGCTTTGCAAGCTCAACTCTTTTCAGACCTTATTTTTGATGACTGTGTATTCTGCCATGGGAGTGGCCAGTGCCTGGTAGTATGGGCTGGGGAGCTACCCAGCTAGAGTTGGCACCCCTCACATCCCTTGCTTACTGTTGAAATGTGGCCCCCCCCCCCCACCAGTTCCTATGTTGAAGTCCTATCCCCCATTACTTCAGAATGTGACTGTATTTGGAGATGGCCCATAAGTGGGTGTAATTAAGTTAAATGAGGTCATTGGAGTAGACCCTAATCCAACCTGACTTGTGTCTTTATAAGAAGAGGAGATTCAGACCCAGACACATACAGGGGGATGATCATGTGAGGACGGAGAAAAGATGACCATCTACAACCTGGGAGAGAAGCTTCAGAAGAAACCATCCCTGTTGGCATTTGGACTTCTGGCCTTCAGAACTGTGAGAGACTGTGTGTAGTACTTGTTATAGCAGCCAGAGCTGACCCATACACTCACCATCAGGCAAAGTACTGAGCCCCAAGCCCCCATTTCCTTCTCCGTAAAATCAAGGTCCTTGAGAATGTCTGAGAGAACGCACGGTCCGTTGCCTGGCGGTGGTCACGTCGTGGTAGTGTTGGTCATGGCCTGGTTCACTTCGTCAGCCTTTTCTGTGCACACTGGGTGGTTTCTGGTCACTCGTGGAAAAACATTTATTGGATCCCTTCACGGCCGTTTGTCCTAAGATAAATAACGACGTGGTCTGTGGCTGGGTACACTGCCTTTTCTTGGGATTGATTTTTAGGCGCCTCTATGTCCTCTTGGCTGTCTTGCTGAGTTCCACAAGGAGCTCTGCGGTGGGAGTGGGAAGCTCCTAAGCCCATGCCTTGGAGGCCCRTCGCTGGTGGGAGTGGGAAGCTGGCTCTGGACCCCATGTAGTGCCATCAGGCTGCTCACAGCCAGAAGGATGAGGCCAGTGGAAGCCACATCCTTTCCTTTTTAAAATCTGTCTAGGCCTCATGGCCACAGCTGCTTCCTGGTGAGTCYGTGGCACTGGGAGGTGGGGAGGCCCCCGGGCAGGTAGCCTCAGCCTGAAGGACTTCTGGGCTTGCTGGGGCATTTCACACCTGCCACAGCAGGGAGTGGCCCTCAGGCCCTTTTGACATAGTTCCTGCCCCTTCCTGCTGAGCTGGCATCCAGGAGTGCTGGCGGGAGGGCCTGCGGCCTCTGGGGATCTCCTGGTGRCCCGTGCAGCCTCTGAGCACCCTCTCAGTCAGGCAGCCTCCTGCCTCCCCGCCCTCCAGCCCTGGGTGCCTCCAGAGCAGCCCTTTTTCTGTTCTCCTTTGAAGTCTGAGCCTCAGAGCCACTACAGACAAACAGGATGTTCCTCTCCCACACACGGGTCACACCGCATCCTGCCCTGAGTGGTGGGTCCCATTCGCTGTGGATCTGGGGGCGTGAGGGGGTACAGGCTGCCTGCCCCGGGGCCTCACAAAGCCAGTTCCTTTAGACACACTTTGAACATCTGTTGTGGACTTTCAACTTGTAGGCATCTAGAAGGCCCCTCTGGGGACCCTGCGCCCAGCAAGGCTGAACAGGGCAGGTGGTGAGGGACGGTGACACCTGCTTTGCACGTTTGTGGGAGGCCATGAAAGGGTAATGGCCTTCCTCATCTCAAGCCTCATCCCTGGCTAGGATTTTTTGCATCTTCTGGGATTTTTAAAAATAGTTTCTCCAAACCTCAGCAAATCATAATCACACATAGGACTCCAAGATTGCTTCAAAATAGATCAGTGCTCTAAAGAGCTTGGGCAAGGCTGGAAGGGCAGTTTAAAGAGCACCAGGCTTCCTTGAATCCTTCCTGGCCGTGGGCTGGACTGACTGCAGCATGACCTGGGTGGTTGGGTTCTCCTGCAGTTGCAGCCAACTTTGGAAAAGTGAAGGTATGAAGGCTGAAGGTTCCAGTTGTTTCCGGAGGCATCGCCCATCCCCCATCCAAGTYGATGTTCTGAGGTCTGAGAATCCATCTGATATTTAGTTTACAAAAGTATGTGTTGACAGAGGGTGGGTTTAAAAGATGTCAGGATTTTACCACTCACTTGACAACCCCGCCTGACGGTGAGCAAACTTCTAGGCACTTCTGAAACTTTCTGCTTGTTGGAGCCTGTGTTTGTGCTGAAAGAGAAGGCACCTTGGGTGCACTGTGGATGTTTAGACCTCAGATGTCCTGAAAATTGACGGGTGAGGGAGGGAAATAAAGGGCGAGGGCTTTCTTAAAAAGAGATTGTCCATACAGAAGAAAAGGATTTGCTTTCCTTCCCTACCCACGCTGCAGGTGAGGAGGAGGACAGGCAGCCTGGGATTGGTTGCTGGGAGTTCTGTTCTGCTACCTCCAGCTCTTAGAGAAATGCATCCCTGTATTATCTCTCCAGATATAGTGGCAATTCTTAAAGGGCCCTTTCATACGAAGGTATGAATCAGTGCAGTGTGAATCTGTTCTGCCGTGCAAAATAAAGACATATTTGTTCATGTGACTCTCTAAGCTATATGTTCCATTGAAATGATTGCATAACGACCAGGAAATCTGCCTCATCTAGCGCATGCCTTACTTTAGCTTTCTTTGTGTATTCTTTGGCACACGGTAGGTATTTAATAAATATTTGATAGGATGATTCATGGCCTGGATTAGCTGCAGCCTTCAGACTCTTTCTCTTTTCCTCCTCAGATCTTCAACCTCATGAAGTACGACAGCTACAGTCGCTTCTTAAAGTCTGACTTGTTTTTGAAATACAAACGAACCGAGGAAGAGGAGGAAGATGAACCCGATGCTCAAACTGCAGCTAAACGAGCTTCCAGAATTTATAACACATGAGCCCCGGGAAGCCAGGACTGCYGCCCTCGCCAAGCAGAGGGGCTTGCTCCCAGGACTGTGTGGGGTTATCATTGCTTTGTTATGTGCAAGGACCGAGATGTACAAAACCCTTCAATGGGGTGTGTGTATTTTATTAACTGCTTGACCAGTAAGTTTTGCATGATGGCTAATCTTACATAAAAATAGCTTTGAAGTTTCAGTTCACAAAACAAGCARACAGAGGTTCCTTCCACACTGGACGCTTGGGACATTTAATAGCTTGATTAAACTKCACTTGAGGCCACAAGGTGTAACCTACAGCCTTGTAAGTCTTTGCCCGGCCTCTGTGGCAAAGGGTTGTGTGTGTCCCCAGATTCACTTCAAATTAACTCGAGCACGAATTCATGTGACATCAGGCTCCCAAGGCTGTTGTCTGTCAGTTGTCTTTTTGAGTTCAGTTCTTCTCGAGGCAAGTTCAGTGCTGGACAAAGAAAATGAGTCGCTGACAGCCTAAAGATTTGGGGAGTTGCGTGTGAGCAGCAGCAAAGGGTTATTATTTCTTGTGCGTGGGTTGGTCCTGGTTTTGCTCGCCATCCGTGACATTTCATGCCACACAGATAAATAGTTCATCTCAACAGAAATAAGATCTTACTCAACCAGGAAGGAAAAAAAAAGACAAATGGGAAATTGTTCAGGGTGCCCTTACCAACCCCAGGTGGTGGTGAACAGGACCATGGCATAGACGGGTCCTGAGCATGGAGTTGGTAGGGATGTACCCCTTCTCCCAGAGCCCATGTGGGGACAAATCACAGCCTTTCTCCTCCGCCTTTGCTGGACTTTTTTCCTCTGGCTTGAGAGCTCAGACAGGGAGTAGAGGTGCTGCTCCRAGCCTGCTTTTCTTGTTGGGGAGGCTGTGAATGGAGCACGGTGGGCCCAGTGTTCCCTGCCGGCCCAGAGAACTCCTCTACAGTGGAGCCYACCAGGTCCAAGCCAGGCTCGGTTYCCTTTACTTAAGGTCCCTGCCATCTGCAGGGCCTGCTGCTATTTCCCCAACGTGTTTGCCAAGCCTCAAACTCTGATTTGTAAAAAGTAACCAACCTCCGTGGCTTGTAAGCCTTCTAGGCCTTTCCATTTGCAAAATTCCCTGATATTGCCGTGACTATATAATTTATCAAACAGGACCTTTTGGAGAGAGAGGGGAGGTGAGTTTTATCATCTCCCTGGGATAATGCCCATTATAAACCATGAACTGGTTCTGTTCTGGATAAGCCAGTTTGTAGCCTCCCTACGCTACAAACCGACAGTCCCCCACGTTCCCTAGCCACGTCGTCCGTCCACTGTGGTTAGGCGCAGTCCTTCCATCTTGGGCCTGCGGGGAGGATGGCCTCTGGGGAACATTCACCACTGAGGACCAAGTAACCACCCGACTGTCCGTCAGAGACAGCAAACATTGTCTCCGCWGCCTCAGAGCTTCCCAAACAGGACTCCAGCCTCTGCCTTCTCTGCCTGTCTGAGGACCTGGGCATGAGACAGGGATGCTGAGAAGGACACCCACGGCTCCTGGACCAGAGAAATATGGTCATAGCCAAGCAGAGTGCATCAGTGCATGCTCAAGAGTGAAGATGCGAAACAACACGGTTTCTGCAGCTCGGCTTCCGCCGGATCGGGCAGAGTGTGCGGGATGCACATGTGCGCGGGGCATCCCGCAGGTGCGGAGCAACGTGCAGCTGCGGCTGGCCCCCTTTGGGCTGGGAAGGGAGGTGGGCTGGAGGCCTCGCTCTGACTTTCCCTCTTTCACCACTGGGTTCAAGGCCCTAGGTAAAGGAAATAGCCAGAAGATTGTCTACCAAAGATATGCCACCCCTCCCTGACCTGCTCCTGCCCGAGCTCCTGCGTCTGTGCCACTCACGGGACTGAGGCACAGTCAGAGTTCAGAGTTCTGACACAGTCACAAAAGGAAAATGGAAAAGGCACAGGGARTCCCTGAGGCCAGATGAACGCCTCTCTCCAGCCCTTCAATTCCACCCTTCTGTCTGTCTGTCTGTCCTCTCATCCATCCATCCATCCATTACRTTGGGTCTGCACTATGTGAGGGACAGAGGTTTTTCACTATTGATCAGGTCTAGTAAAGCCAACAGCTCAGGAGACGTTTTCCACTGAAAAGAGTTTGCTACAGTTCTGAAGAGGAGAGGGCACACTAGGTTGGGCAGGGTCACATGGGAGTGCACCAGGGTCTGTGAGAAGGCAGAAGGGCAAATCGTGAGCATGAGCCTTCATTGTGGTTTGGTTGGCAAAGGCAAGGTGGTCAGCAGGCTGACTGGCTAGTTTGCATCATTTCACTCGACTCGGATGTTTGGATTGTCCCCATTTGTCTGGTACCTGGCCCTGGGGTGATKAGGGCAGGTAAATTGTGGCCCAGAGTATGAGAGCCTGGTAAGGAGGTGTCGCATAGAGGTTATATGCTCTGGGTTGGCTGTGCCTGCGGAGGAAGCACCCAGCCCCAGGAGGGACAGCCCCTCGGGGTCAGCAAGGCCCCAGATGCCCAAGTATCAGATGAAAAGACCTGCTTATAACACGGGCTCGGCCTGCAGGCCGTGGGTGTCCTGTTGTGTTTGGTAGGGCCATGTTTTAAATCTTGCAGTCCAGATTCAAGCAGAGCCTGAGAGTCCTCTCCCCTTGGCCACAGGCCCCTCTGTTCCCTAGTGCACTGTAGCGGGTTACTCACATATTGATGTTAACCTCTAGCTCCGAGTTTGCACACTCATCTTCCTTGTGYGGGGAACACAGCCTGCTGACCTTTTCCTCTGACTCTGCACTTGCTCATCATCCCTCCTGATCCACCCTGCTGGCCTGCTCAGCTTTCTGAGTGGAAGTTCCCATCCGTTTCCTCCCAGTGGTCCTGCCCCGTCCTGTGGAGCTCCCCCGCAGGCCTGGTGGGAATYGCTGCAGGCTGGCAGCGTGACTTCCAGGTGCCTCTTTCCCTTTGCCTTAGAGGAGATTTGAGATGAGAACACARAAATAAAGGACACGACCCACACAGCCACATGCCTGTAAGTGGCCGAGGCTGAAGCCGAAGCCCTACCTGCCTCCTGACCCCGCTCCCTTTTTGGTCCATCGAAGGCCTGGAAAAGACCCCCAGAAGCCACTGCTGTGGTGAACACGGGCCTATGTGTGCGTATTCACTCATGTGACAGATATTTAACAAGCACCTACCACSTCCTGGGCCAAAAAGTAGATTCGAGGATGTTGCAAGAGGAAAGAAAGAGGCATGAACCCTGCCCCTCAGGGAGCGAGTGTGATGAGGGGGGTTCTTCCCTAAAAACCGCCAGAGGAAAGAGAGTGACCCTCCTCTGGGAGGGGCTGGAAGGACAGGACCCATTGTGCTCAGCTCTTAGCACACAAGCTGGGTTGTGACTTCCCCCTAAAAACCAGGATGTCAAGCTTCATGTTGACAGTGATGTGAAGTCCCAAGTCCTCCATGCCAGGGATCAGCTTTTCATCTCAGCCGCAGGTGAACTCCAGATCAGGACTGGATGGTCAGTCAGCGGACTCTCCCCCAGGGCTCTGCCAGCCAGGTCTACACCCTTCCACGTGTCACGGAGCTGGGGGCTGATTCATTGGTACCCACCTCCCGGGCCCCAGCTCCGAATCTGAGAGGACACGTTGTTTACAAGCTTTGCAAACTACTAGGCAAGCAAAGTCACGGCTCACATTCCATCTCTGTTTGCTTTCATTTTGGCTGTGGATGTTCTAGAACTTGCGTTTATTTAAGTGCTAAATGGTCTTGTACCCTTAGCTTCCAGGGATTTTTCAATGGCCTTTCTTCACGAGGTTAGCAGGCTGTTTACTGCCGTCAGTGCTGTAAAGGGACGGGGACCCGAGGCAGGGGAGAGGAAACTTCCATGTGGACATTGTCCTTAGACCTTGAGCAGAGCAGGGCTCTCCATGGGCATTGCAAGTCCAAAGTGGCCCATGCAGAAAGCTGAGGTCCCTCTTGTCAGGGCCTTTGAGCCAGGGTTGCAGGTGGCACCTGCAGTGGCTGCTACAGCCTCCCAGCTCTTCTAGGCGTTTCCATTTGCAAAATACCCTGATTGCTGTGACTATGTAATTTATCAAATAAGACCCTTTGGAGAGAGAGGGGAGGTGAGTTTAACAATTTCCCTGGTTTAATGCCCATTATAAACCATAAATATGGTTTATATCGTCTGTGCTGCCCACTGCACACCCCCAGTGTATAAATACGCACACAAACTGGGGCCAGCTGCTCACTCTGAGTAAGCTCTTCTGTACCTTCTTCTTGTTCTCAGAATAAAAATTTGGGTCATAACTATGGCCTCATGGCTGCAAGGCCAGGGAGATCTGAGCCCAGCCCCACATCCTGCTGCCCGGCTGAGGCCCTGCCTCACCTTCTGGGCCTCATTTGGGATCTGCCAGCAGTGCATTGTTGCCTCCTCTGCTCAGAACAGCTTGCTCCTGACCTTGGCGGCTCTCCTGGTCATTCAAGGCCTGATGCTAGCTCCTGGGAGAGTCCATTCCTGAGGAACCCTGGGAGCAGCCCCTTGACCCTAGGGCTTCTCCCAGCCTCTCCAGAGCCCCAGGCATGGCTGGTTATCTGTTGCTGGTTTGCGACCTGTCTCCTAAGGACAGGGGCTGCTTCACCGTGTTCCCAGCCACCAGTCCAGGGCTTGGCCCAGAGTAGCCACAGAGCAGGCGCTCAGAAATATTCCTTGAGTGAATACCAAAAGGGCCAGGATCTAAAATTTCAGTTGATCTCATTCACAGCCTGGCACCTCGGTATTGCCCCTTGGGAACAGGCCAACCCACGTCGTTGTCATAACAAAACAGATTGGAGGCTCAGAGGATCCCACCACTTCCTGCGTGCCTCCCACGGGTGGGGGGTGTGCATCACAGAGTGTCTCTCTTGTGCAGCAGGTGTGACTCCTACAGATGGGTGGGGGGAGCTAATCTCAGAACACTGCACCTGTCACAGTTACTGTGGCTGCAGTGGGTGTGACCAGGACTGGAACCCAGGTCCTCTGGACCCCACAGTCCGCCCCTTTTCACCACACCTGCCCGGGCCAGGTTCCGGCTCAGGCAAATCGTTGGCCATTCCATCTGGAAAACACGGCATCCTGGGAGAAGGCTGTCACCCACCAGTCTTGGTCCAGTCTTCCCTTTTTTTCTGCAGGATACGCAGAGAGGGCCTGGCCCCAGCCAGGGAGGCAAGGCCCATGCTCTTTTAAAAGTCCATTTTCATGTTTGCAACTAGTTTTTTTTTTTTTTTCCTTTAGTGATATATCGTGA